ATGTAGTGTTTGCTATATTTATGTGTTATTTCAGTGATTGTATAAAATACCTACTTTTACGTTAGGGCAAAAAGTCGTTAAAAACCAAAACAAAGATTAGCGACAAGCGCATTGAAAAATTCGTAAGGTCTGCTGGTTCGTTCCGTAGCTTAGTTGGCATAGTGTTTGCCACGGTTTGCTAGAAAACGTTGGTTCGGATCCAGCCGGATCGAAGGAATTATTTCTAGATCTTTGCATTAATAATGTATAAAATAGTCGATATTTTTCAATAAGTTATACATACTGCCCTTAATTATACTATTCAAAAATGTTGAGATATTAAACAATAATTTACCGACATACTGGTGGTGAGGTCTGCATTTATCATGAATGGTACATATGTATATATATCTAATACATTTGATTTATAATTAAGCTCTCACGTGAAAATCTATGAACTACTTTTACTACAACAATAAAAGTTATGAAAGCTTGCAGCGTAAAATAATAAACGCTTGTAAAGTATTGCTTTCTCTCGTATTACTTTTTAATGAAACATTCTAACAAAGCACAAGTTTTGTGGGTTCCAGCGTAGGTGTACTAATTAGGTATCATGTTTGTATAGACAATTCACATAATCTCATTACATTCCAGCTAATTAAGAAAGAAAATCTTTGTTATAGCACTGTACTATATTTTCAAAACGTTTGCACACACGATTTTTAAAATATTCCAAAGAAAATGTGAATGTATTGAACAATGAAAAACAAATGGAATGTGTAAGAGTTATGACACACGCTCTCGATTTAAAGAAAATTTGGCTTGATTCTTGGTGTTGTTAAGTTTTTACAATTTATTTTAAACGTAGATGAGAGCAATAAACTTTTGAGTGCAAGACAAATACAAATTCCAGAACACACGTGTACATTGGTTTCGGAGCTGATCTAAATGTAGAGCGGATGAGCGTTTTTTGCGATGAATCCATACCGTCGGCTGCCGCCGCCGCTTGCGGTGCGCCGCGACATTTGACCTTCCCGTTTCTGTTCTGCGTCATAGCGAAACGGGAGCTTGAAATTTTCTCTAGACAAACTATGAACCTCTCTTACTACATTTTAAAGTGACTTTAAAATTTCACCACATTAAAAATTACCATAAGTTGAGAAAATGGATTCGTTTTAACTTTTATTTGCATTTTCCATCTCTACATTGTATTATGGTGCAAAAATGTGACCCTATTCTACATATTTCGTTGAACAATAATCACAAACATCCGTTCATATTTTGAAAACAAGTCGTAATATGAACTTTATATTGCACAGACTGCAGCTGAAGGGTAAAATCGGAAACGAACCAGTGACATTTAGCGGCCACTCGACTGTAAAAGAGTTTTAAATTCCCCTTTAGTACTTCAAGCTACCAAGCGTAAAATAACGTTTTTAAATCCACTTTACAAAACTAGGCTCTAATAAAAAAATCAATAATAGATATTTTTTCCAGCATTACTTAATATTACGAGAAAACTTTCAATGTTCTCTGAATTAATGTCGGCTATATCAATTTTCACAGAAGAACTTGACAGCCTCTTGATCGAATAATCGCTTTGAGTTTAAGTATGTTCAAATGCGTAACCTTTCTCTGAAGTTTACAGCTCAAACACACAAAGTTGTATGTTAAATAGATTACTATATATTATTTTAGTTACAGGCATTATAAAGCAGAATTGTATGCTTCATTGTCGGTCTCATTTTATGAAATCGATGCTTATCTATAAATAATAGAAAGTTAATTCGTAGAGTGAAACGTCGAGCGAAACGAGATCAAAACATTTGACAAATATTTCGTAAATGTGTTCATTTACGTAATCTTTAGTGATAAATTAAATAGCATCTATGGGTTTTGAACATAAAACTCGTTAAATTTTCTTGTAAAAAAAAGGTTTAAAAAAAATTCAACCAACTTCAAAACCACAAAAAGTCACTACAATCAAAAGCGAATAATAACAAAACACAGATTTAATCAAAATGACGACAGTGTTATACTTTTTTTTCTTATTTTATTTTGTACACACTATTATTATATTACTTATTAACCAATCTATCTACATTTATGGTTTATTTATATATTTTTAACGTGACAATTCTTGTCCAAACGTTTTTTTTACCTGTTATTATTTATAGTTATATATTTGAATAAATGAAATAAGATAAAAATAATTAAAAAATATTAAGTACGTGTATTGTTGTCATTTTGAATGAAATATTTTATTATTTTTCGCTTTTAGTGTAGTGACTTTTTGGTAGTTTGTTTATTTTTCAATTTTCAGTAAATATAGGCAGGTAAGTATTGTAGTGTTTAGTTAAGTACCTATACTAAACAGTAATTGACGATAAGTCAAGTTTTTTCGACAATTAGAAGCACTTACTATCACCAGTTGCAGTATTTGCTCGTTCGTTTACGAGAATTGGAAAGATGAAGACGATTGCCTTGCACGTCCACAACTATCCGAGATCATTTGGTTTGTGACAGTTCAATAAACACACGTGCCTATAAAATTTGAGTTTTCGATCGATTTCCATAGGAGTCCCTCATAAAATTCTGACTTAGTGTCAATGGGACCACCTCGAGAGTACCCTTATATGCATATAGGACGGGAGGCGCTATTAGCGTTATTTCTCGAACAAAACTTTCTGAGTTGGGGGTAAAACTACAAGCAAACAGTTGCACTCAAATGAAAATTTAATTGTGTCACTATGGCCTCACACAAACAAAAGTCTAGAACACTGGCTTATTTTTACAAATACACATATAAAACACACATTCATTTCTACAAAAATAAATCGATTCTCATGAATATACTAGAGACGGAAAGGTATCGACGTGACGGTATCGATATGCATTATGTACTGGTTAATCATGTATATGAAAAATATAATTCCACCCTTGGCTAGCCTGGATGTAGTGAGTTTCTTTTTCCAATGTTGTGTGTAGTGTAACAGTGGTATTGTTCTACTTGTATTTGCCAGAGGACTTTGCCCATTGACTTACCAATAAATGGACGACAATAAATACAATCCAAAGTCTAATCCAAAAACCGCGAAAAAATGTCCGGAGTTTTTTTCAGTTTATGGCTTTTCGCGGTCAGCGTTGGAGCCAATGACAAGCATGGCCGGAGTTAACCTCTACAAACTTAGTGGCATGTATAGAAATATTAAAGAAACTAAAACATTTATCTTAACTTTTTAATTTAAACAATTTAAAGGCCTAAAAATTTTCCATATTCAGCTTCTACTGCAAATAAGAAAATGCGCCATATTTAGCTTCTATTGAAAACTACTTGAACACAAGAGTAATGGAGTAGTCTTAATGTCAATATTAATTAATTTTATAGTATTATGTTGAATTTTATACGAATTCACTTCAAGTAATAGGAGTTGTGCAGATATATAGGTGTCTCTCTGTTGGTTGTTATGACGTGCTGTAAGAAATGTGTCGATGATTCGAATTTCTAGATTCCAACTAGAAGTAAACTCAAAGTTTCATAATCTCGAAAACCGATTTATAACAAAACTGCATAAGCTTTCAGGGGATTTTGGTTGCTTATTACAAAGAAAAGATTAAGTTGGTTTGTTTTGTAATATTCCTGAAGTAACCTAAAAAAGTACATTTGGGATTACAAAAATTCTAGCAAACATTACTTCGTGCAAATGTAGTTTCGGACTTCTGATTGATAACTAAAAACAGTAAAACGAATACAACAATATTTTGTTAGTTATTTGTTACTAACATTTAATAAAAAGTCATTTTAAAAATAAGATTAACATTAAATCAACTCTATAGTTTTTGTTCTAAATCTAAATATTTCAATCGCTTCTGGTTCGAAAATTGAAATTGACGTAACGGGTCTCTTTCTTTCTGTAGGATAAGGACAGTTAGCTATTTGGTTACTTTTATTGCTTATGTAATTTATGTGTATTGTATGTATGTACTCGTATATGTACTTTTTATTTTTATTTTTTTCTTACAGTACGGCATGATTTATGATGATTTATATTAAACAATTGCAATTTATTTTCATTATTTATAATTTATTACATTATTATTTTATATACAATACTACGGAGAAATCAATTTGAACAAACTTCGTTACATAATTTGTCGATAAAAATATATATTATTATTCTATTCTATAATATTATTATATTAATATTATTATATTAATTATGTGGTTTTGCAGCGGAAGATCCAAAAAAAAAAAATTTTATCTAATAAAGTATAATTAAAATTACAAGACAATAAAAATATGAGACTCGACCGATGGTAGGTACAATAATGAATTATTATGAATTTTAAAATAGCCACGATGAGGTGATCGATGTCGTTAGCCGGTCACGTTATGCTGCATCGGCACCTCGTGCAATGGGTCGTTGTCCATACTGAATTGGGGCGGTGCTTACTCGACGTATTACTTGTATTAGGGTTGCGTAACATATTCTCAATAACGAAAATACAGTCACACAAAACACACAAAACAGTCAGTCAAATATTCGAATGTTTTCAAATATTTTTTATGTAATTGATAAATTTGATTCAATGCGATCATTGTGAAAAAAATGTCATAAAATAGAAAATTAGCAATAAATGTAAAAAATAAGCTATGTATGGAATGTAATTCCACCCTTGGCTAGACTGGATGCAGCAGTTTTTTTTTGCAAGTTTGTATAGCGCAAGACGATGTTTCGTTCGATAATGGAAATGAAAAAACATAGATTTGAAAATAGTGTTTATTGATTTGTGCTTGTACCTTGACAGAGGGCATTGACCTCCTTTTTTTGAAGTCGGTTAAAAATACTTGTTTCTATTCGAGACTTATTTAAAATTTCGATGTTTTGCCAAAAAAATCATTCCAGACTGGCACCTAGAGTATCTGATTTTACAATCTAAGCAAATATGTAGTAATAAATAATAATGCGTACGTGTTTAAATTTGGCGCGAGAGTGGACACGCCGGCGCCGCGGGCAGTGCGAGCCCGCGACCGCTGGAGCGCGCCCGCCCTCTTCCAGGTTGTGCACGCGACTCAACACAGCGTTTTCACCACTACCCCTGCAACAACTTTCCTTTTACACTGATTTTCTGCGTACGTGTTCTCTATATTACCTTTTTTACACTATTAAGTTTCAATTTAAAAAATATATCTTAGAACGGGTTCAAATTAAACCGTGCAGTGCATAATTAATACTTGTTTGAAGTTTATTGTGCTGAAGTGTTTGGTTATTATGTGGGACTTTACTGTTACATAACCACGATAGTGCTGTAAGAGTAGATCGCGCAATTGATGCCTAAATATGCAAATGGGACTGTCAATAACACAACCCTTGCATGCTGCTTCAATAATATAAGTACATAAAAAGCAAATAAACTAAAATGTTTTGACCGAAGTATTCTTTCCGTGAAGTAACTGTTCCGGTTATTTGTCATATATTATGTATTACTTTTCAGAATTAACATCGAGAAAAAAATGTTTAATGTCAAAAATTGAGATAAGAATATAATAACGGATGTGATTACACGACTACATTGTGAAAAAAAAGCATTTAGGATGTCAAAAAGTAGAACTAAAAATAATATATACTGTAAACAACCAAAAAAACTGAATTTAGATTTTTTAGAGCATTTAAAGAGCATTTCCCGAGTGACATATTACCGCATATCCGTAACTATAAATTAATATTTTTGCATAAAGCATGTTTATAAATCTTAGAACTAAAATACCGTAGACCTGTTGTATACAATTTCTCTTATTTATAGAAACTTAATCCACCCTTACGACACTGAAGCAGAAAGTTTGCATGAGTGATAAATATTATTAACAGAGACTTTGTAAGAATACGCAAATACTCTGTTTTACAAAAATACCCTTAAGAGGAATAGTTTTGTTTAAAGCCGGTCATTTACTATTTCCAAACAGATGAAGTTGCGGACACAAATTCCTAAAAAAATTTAACAATAGCTTCGTTTATATTAAAGTTTTTAGTTTAAACAATTAGCTGTCTCTCGTCGCTCATTAAATGTTAAACGAACAGCGAGTCCTACGCGATGTCAATCAAAAATGATATAAATCAGCGCGAGATTGTTTTAGGTCGTGTCAAAGAGCTTCAGTGACTGTTCCCGGGGTAAAAATACATAGGTATGTGGGTGGACACACCAGCTCCGGCTGCTATCGGGCGCAGCGATCGTACCGCGATGATTCGCGACATTTCATCGACTGCACTTTCTATTTACGACAAGACACCCGGGCTCCCGAGGAACCTACTTCTATTATTACAATATTATTCAATAGCCGAATGCAGGTCACTCGGGTTTGGATCCAGTTGGGACGTAGAATTATGCATTTAAAGATCATATTAAAAGTGTACTGATAAGGATGGCTCATTATAAAATCAATGATTACATAGATACTTACTTCCATCTATTAAATGTTAGTAGTGATATGAAAAAAAACAAATACAAGTCATTCTTATCAGTAGAATCTAACTAACGAATAAGTAGTGGTTTTAGTCGATGTGACAATTTCAAGTGTAAAGACAAAGATTTGGTTTGATTTTAATCTTTTTGTTTATTCGTTTTCAATCACTCCTATTGTTGATCTGACGTCCTTCAATACATTTTCTATGAAGACTGTTCAGCAAGAGCTCACTTAAATTTTCGAATTTTAAATACAACGTAGTCCTGAAAGGCTATTCATATTAGGTCGGAAGTAAAATGAGTCTATATGCTTTATGTATATATTATAAAGTATAATATAATAATTAAAAATAGTATCATCACTTATGCTATGAAAAACCTCTGACTAAAGGAAATATATTTTCAGATCATTTAAAATATTTAAATAGACAAATTGGTCTTGGTTACAACAAAATTTTGAATTTGGCAAGCTTTCAAATACGTGATATATAAGTATAAATAAAAATTACTATTAACCTAAATAAGTAGAAAAAATGTTCAGCAATTTACCATCAGTATACCTATTTATTTTATTAATGACGAAATTGAAACTGTCAAAGTTAATACTTATTTACAAAGATATAATCATTTTAGCATAGCTGATTGTATCTGCGTTCTCTCCTTTTGTGTGCCATAGACAAATTTACCATCGGCCATCCCTACTTCAGTGATTACTTTGAAACTGTCAAAGTACCTATAGAAAATAAACTTTTGTCAGTGTTGAGCGAGTGTCGGTGAAGAGTAGCGACGATGGTGGCAGGCGACGTGACACGGCGCGCGTCCATTACCGCGCCTTCCATGCACCGGAGGCCTTCGGCGCGCCGCGGTTCTCTCATTAAGAGCTCTCAATCACAGTCAAAGGTCAGTTTGAAAGTATTATATCCTAAACCAGGATTGACTATAACAATCCACCGCAGCGTTGCAACATTCACCACGCTTGACGGATGGCTTGGTTGTTGCAATCAGAGATGGGCAGTGGTTAAAAATCCAATCAACCCGTCTGCGTTTTAACCGGGTTTTCACTCAAAATGGTCGGTAGAAAGGGCGAATACGGAATTTGGTATAATTCCATACTTCTTACAAATTTCGACGTGAAAAATGGTTTTTAGAGAGGCAAAGAGAAACTGAAACTAATTGTTATAAAGATCGATTCATGTGCATACGATGTAACGATTATTTGTATCGATTGATTCCAATGCGATTTTCAAGCTAATCCATTCAATAGAAAGACAAATCCAATCGTCTGGATTAGAAAGAATAAACATTTTATAATATCATTACATTTGAACAAAACTCGATTTATAACAAATATTCAGTTTTAATAGTTTTTGCCCTCGATGTTAGGGTTACTAAGTCTTAATCCGATTTAGACCCAGCGTTAACAATCGCCGGGTTAAAACCCGGGGCGCTTGGCCATCTCTGGTTGCAATAGAGTTTCACGAATGAACAACTTTTATATACGATACCTAATTAAGCATATGGACTAAGTAATATGTATCCGTAATTTGGAATCGTAAGTGAAAAGTGTGCGATTACCAACCACATTTCGTATTGGTTTTAGCAAATCGAATTGTTCCCACTTCACAGCATTGCACTATCGTAACGTCGCTCAAGTAGTAATGTCATGTCAATTGAGGTGTTAACTTCGTAGTGTGTCGATCAAAAATTTTGCCTGCGTTCAGTCGGTTAACCCAATGTGCCGTTGATATTAAATGATATCAGACTGCCTGAAAGGGAGGCCTTTCAATTGCCTTGTGTGGGCTATCATGCCGCCAGAAGCAGATCGAACCTGTACATGACTTTAAAGAAAGGTTGTCTGAAAACAATTTTTTTAATATTTTTTTTTAATTAAACGCTCATTCTGTTTAAATTTTGCAAGTACTCTTTTATTACAATTTTTGTCTTTGACATGATACATGAATTTCAATTGCGTGGATTCTTTTATGTAATTAAATTATAAAGGTATAACATGGGTAAAATCTCACAGAACAGAAAATACAGAAGAAGTGGTTAGTTAGCCTCACACGCGTGCCAACTATAGGTCTCTTAGGACCTATGTGTGAGCTCAGTCCGCCATTTTCACTTTATCCGGTATGGTTGTGTCAATTCCTTCGCGTGAATCCTATAAAATCCTGGAAAAATGCCTTATTGTGCTGTTTTGTAGTGCAAAATTGATAGCGCAATAATATTACTCGTAGTAGTATTTCAAATCATCGGTAAGTCTTGTTTTAATAAATTTTCAATTTTCTGTTTATCGAAATCTATTTTCTGTTACAAGAAACGAAAATAAAGCTTGTACCCCTGCAATATGGTCGCTTCTTTTTTGGAGAACTAAATAAACAACTCCAATCAGTCGTGCTTCAGCAATTAACCGCTAGATGGCAGGACATTGATTGAAATTTCAATTTAATATCAAAACGTCGTAACTTGCAGTTATTGATGGTATTGAACTTTCAACGATATGCCAACAGGGTAAAGTTTAAATTATATTAACAATTCAGAATTGGTTATTTCTTTTTAAATTTGAAACTACGACCAGTCAAGATTTCGTAAACTTTCAAAGAATGTGTGAGTTTTGGCGACATCGATTCTAATAGTAATCGAGACTTATGGCACTTCCATTGTTTTTTTTTCCGTGTAAAATCTCAATAATCCTCTTCGTATCAACATTATCAATAAAGCCGTAAAAGTTACAAAATAATATTCACGAATGAAGAACATGAAAAAGTCTACAAATTTTTGTATAATGTGTTTTCCTTTGACCCTGTCAACCCAGTCGAAAACGTAACATAACATATATGTAACCGAAAACGGGAAATTTCGAAATGCTTTTTATAAAGATAATAGATAATCGCAGTTCGGGGACTTTTCATATTCTTTATCTTTGAGTATTTTAGTGTCATTATTTATTTGTTTGGAATTTAATTTTGCGATCGAAGATTAGCCCTCCGAATAAAAAGAAACATAACAAAATTGTACATTCAAGTAAATAATTTGAGGTTGATCATTGTTATACATTTCCCAGGAGTCTGATTTATGAAAGGGTTGTCGTTGGCCAACACATAAAGAGGGCTTTACGGGTTTAAGCATTTCTTCCCATCAACACCAACACTCTCCTTGTTCAGGTTTTAGTGTTGCTGCCAATTATGCTGATGTGTAAGAGCTGTCAATCACAGTCAAAGATTAGTTTTAGTTTAGTTAGTCTCAGTCAGCTCTTGCGCCTATGTATTATGTTATGCGCATTGAAGTCAAGTTGCGGACACCAGCCCGTTACACCAAGTATGCTGATGTGTGTTACAGCAAGAGCTCTTAAGTTTCTTTGAACGCGCTGGATCGTCTTCATAACAATTGTATTAGGTTCGACTTTGGTTTGCCAAAGTATGAGCGCAACTCTACTTTTCTTCGTCTAAGTTGACTTCTAATCCGTGAACGTAGGTAGGTCCATAAGACTTTTAACTAAGTACCCTTTTCTCGTTTAACTGCCTCCGTAGCCGAACGGTTACCTTCCTGGACTGCCATACAGAGGTCCTGGGTTCGATTCCCAGGTCGGGAGAATATGTCCCAAGGAGCACATTTTATACGCTTTAAAACTGTTATATCTATAAACAGTCTTAATATGGTATTGATTTAGATAATAGCTATCTATAAATGGTTTTAGAAAAAATAAATTGTTCTTATAGACTTATTTCATTCAAGTCAAAATTTTAACACCTTCTTAATACCAAACAGCTTAATTAAGTGTAATCTCTGTTAAGATTTACTCTTATAGTCCTTATGTTAAGTTCATCTGTAGAGCAACTGATTATTTTTAGTAAAATTGTTCTATACACATCTAGTAAAGTCTATTGTAATACTCTAAAAACTAGTGTTCTTAAGTTTATTCTAGATATATTTAATTTATAGACATTCTGTAGTGTTTGTACTTATTGATAAACACGTTATAGTGCGTCTTCAGTAGATTTTAAGATTGTAAGAGTTCATGCAAAATGGATAAAGTAAAGAATATTAAAATATCTGGTGGAGGTGGTGAACCTTGGATATTAAGTCACATCATTCGATACAATCAGCGTTGCCAATGCCTATTGTTCAAAATCCCCAAAAATCACGGTTAAATCCCCAAATTTGGGGAGAGCAAAGTTCACATTCCCCACAAATTCCCCACATCTCGAGTTTTCATTATTTATTAGAAATACATCGCTTAAAAATATAATAAAGAATTAAGAAACTCAAAATGTAATAATCTATTACATTTGCTGTGAATGTAAACAGAATGTAAAAAGTAAAACTAATTATAAAATTTGATGACCTTAAATCGTTTATTTATTTTAATATTAATAATAATAATAACGTACACACTCAACATAGCCCCGCATTAGGGAAACCCTGTGTCGCGGGTGCCATGGACTCACACGTAGCCAACCACAAATTACACCCAAACTCATGAGAGACATCAATGTAGGCCATAAAAATATTTCTGCCGACCCGGAAATCGAACCTGGGACCTCTGCATGGCAGTCCGGCATGGTAACCGTTCAGCCACTGAGGCAGTTATATTAATTATAATATTAATGAGATTCAACATTAATCTGTAATCAGTCTGAACAAAAAATAATTTTTCTTTGCCTTACAAAATTAAGTAAATTGATTATTTGTTGTGCATTTGGTGACACTATGTTAATGTTAGAAATAATCAATGACTTTCGACCTATATTTAATATTTGAAGTTGACGAGTGGTAAGTTGTGGTGTGGAAGTACCAACTACTCGGCTTTGTTTATCAATAGCTGATTTCGTTTTGCTTCATACCGGGAACCGTCCTAAGCGGGAGAAAGAATTGCGAACTCAACATGCACCGACTGGTAATTTTACAATTCAGAACAAAGTGCTCTAATAGTAATTCCATTTAAGCTGCTTGTTAATAATACGAGTGATGTGCGATGTTGAAAAACACGTCGAGATAGTCCATCACAGTGTTTCTAACTGTAACGGTCAAACTAGCGATGCATCAGCAATTGATAGATTAAGCAAAATGATAAAATGTTAGAATCCCTACATTTTCCTCACATAGCGCCAATCCCCACAAAATCCCCAATCTAGTTGAAACTCCCCACAATTTGGGGAATTCCCCACAAATTGGCAACCCTGGATACAATAGTCGTAATTCGCGCTCGGGCCGGTCATGGCCAGCATTTGTTTGTTGACAAATAAGTGACAAAAATAATAGAAATGAGCGCGTAAACTACTGTACTTCAATGTTGTGTATGTGTATTGTGCCGTCTGTCAATATAATACACTGAAATCATTGTATGAATTGTGGGTGGCGTGAAGAAATAACCTCAATTTTGTAATGAAAATTTTATTTGTTCCAACACAAGTTAGGTATGTCATCAAAATATTCCTTACATTTATGTGATAGGGAATTTATTCACCTTTCTAGTCATATATAACACATTCCATATAATTATACAGATTAACGTTTTTTACGACAAAGTGCATTTTTAAATAGTTTTTTTCACCTAGTATTTTGAAAAGTATTTTATTGCATAATACGCTCACTATTCCCTATAACTTTTAAAAAGATTTTGTAGTACTGAATTATGTCCGGGCGACCGAAAAAAGCCTTTTTTAAAATAAAACTTATTTAATTAAGAGAATACAAGTTTGTACCAATGCCACGACAAGTCTGATCGTCGAATTATAAAATAAATATTGCGTTAATTTGCTAATTGCATCGGTTGCATTTTCGGCAGCGCTGAGTCGGGGGTTTTCCGGGAATACGATGACTTAACTCCTCCCTCATCTAGTCGGAGCTGCATCCTGCAACTTCCGGGAACGTCCTCGTTCCGTGGTTTCATCTTTGTA